TATATATATTTATATACATAAATATATATAAAAATATAAATATATATTTTTATATATTTATATATATATTTATATACATATATACTGTATATATATTTATATACATATAAATACTGTATATATATATTTATATATATTTTTTTTTATAGATATATTTTAATATATATTTATATATATATATATATATATATATATTGTTGTGAAGGCAAAATCTATCAAATTTGAACCCCATTGAAAAAGTTTGGACACATCTACCGTTCATAAATGGATTCTTAAGCGGCCAGGCCCAATAACAATGACCCAATTTTTCTCAGGGCCTGCACACCAAGGGGTCCGGGTCGCCCCTGCGATCCGCAGGTTCAGTCTGCGAAGAGGCATCTCCACACCTGGTTGATCACCAAACAAACATACTTGCCATGATTTTTCTTCCGGCGTCCTCAGCGTTTACACAGAGACGGAGCCGGTGCACGGGCGAGGGCAGAACATACATCTTTATATGTGTCCACTTACAAAAGGTTATCTTTCATATTGCTCAAATGTTACCTGATAAATGTGCTGGTAACTCTCAATATTTCCACTGCGGGTGGCACATTTGTCATCGTTGAGATGGCGGGCAGAGTAGGGCACAGATGGGAACTCCTCCCTCACGCTGGCGTTGACGTATGAGCTGCGGGTCGCGGCAGACGAGCACATGAGATTAATAACGCCGCTCCTGGACTGGAACCAGAGAGAGGCTGAGCTCCGACCTGGGACTTAACGAACTACAACCAATTTAGCACAAAAAAAAATGTTTCTAATGACTTTTCCACGTTGCAGGAAACCACTACCGGACATGTTTGTGACGCTCTAGAATCAGACTGATTCTGTATAATTAAAGTCAATTATGCGCTGTGAAAAATGACATTCAAAGGATATTAATTACGTTTCAGGTGGATTAAAAATGCAGTGAGACTTTCTGACCTTAAGTTACACTCACTTCACTGTTTTAATGTGATAATTACCCCCTCTGGAGGATACAGGGGTCAATCACAACCCCCTGACTGGCCACGGTCGTATCTGCGGATCAAGCTGCATCCGAGCCTGTTCAGGTACATTACAATGCAGCTCAGATGAACGAAGGCATCGTGATGCAAACACAGGAGGATTTTCTCTATGACAGATTTCACGGAACTGTCTCATTATGACTCGGTGATGGCAGGCGCTGTGGAAATGGGCTTTACACTCAGTGATCTGCATAACAGAGATAAAGACAGCGTTAGACTTCTTCTTTTCTTTTCTTTTTTTTCATGCTGCAACATTTCGACGACAACACAGTGCAATGAGCCTTTTGTTTACCGACAAATGAAATGCCGAAGTGAGGTCTCAAGCAGCCATCATGTAACAGTTCAGGGCACTAATATAGTTCATGAATATATAGATTTCTAAAGAGACCAAAATTATGAGTAATAAAAATGTTCTTACTGGGTGTGAAACCTGTGCCTGTTTAGTTGAACACAATTCTGATTTATTAGCAGGAATTGAAAAAAGACAAACTGCAAGTCTTTTTGTCACTTTCATAGCAAACTGCTGCCACCAAGTGGATGAGTATGTAAGGGTTCTGTCTGTCACTGTCACATACATGAAAAAAAGACAAATAATTAGCAGGTAGTTTTCATAATATTTAGATGAAATTTGATCATTTTGTGCATTACACGGGACACTAATGTGCTACAAAAATAAGCGTATACTGTAGAACAGTGTTTCCCAACCTTTTTTTCAGCCACGGCACATCAGAAAAAACCCCACGGCTCAACACCAATAATATTCTATTTTAAATTTACTAAAAATTTAGTCCTTTTTAGTTGAAGAAAACACTAATATACTGACAGGAATTGAAGAAAGTCACTCAAAAATCTTCAACAGCTCTGATGATCTTTTTTTAATTTCAATAGCCGTCTGCTGCCACCTAATGGAAGAGAATTTAGTTGCTCTGCTTGTCACACATTGATGAACAAAGAAAAGATATTTGCATTGAATAAATAATAGTTTTGGGACAATCAAAGAGACACTATCACATCTTTTAAGAACAGGTACCTTTTCAGAAGCACCAACAGGAGAAGTACTGGATAATTATATTATTTCTGAATTTCAAATCTCCCCATATGATGATATAACATTGCCGGCTTTGCTATCGTGATAATCTCACAGATGGGGCCAGCATGGGATTGTAAAGGTAAACTAAATCAGCCTGCATTCTGTTTAGTTTGTTCTGTCACCTCAGGAATGCAGGTTTACAATTGTGTTGACAGTTCACCATCTGCTGCGGAGCCAATCTACAGCATGTATACCTTACCCCGTCTGTATTTACTCACCTGTCCAGACTTTGAGTTTGGCAGTCAGGATAATCAGGTGCGTTTTATTTACATACAGAAGACTGTGATGTTGTTTAAAGAAGAAGGCATGACAAAAGTTTTCTTACAAAAATAATACTTTAATCAATTCAAGAAGACGACGGCATCTGGCGTCCATCACCTGAAATTCATTCGACACAAGGCAGAAAATAAATTAAGACAACGGTCGACAAACTCAGAAGTAGTACAAAAACACAACGGTCGACAAACTCAGAAGTAGTATAAATAATCTGATCTTGGTAAAAAAAAAAAAAAAAAAAAAAAGAGGGCTGAGTCTTCTTAAACTAAGACAATAAATATTGGTGTCTGAAATGCATTTGTGCCACAGTTAACTACTCTGAAACTTCCCAAATGTCCTTTATTGTTTCAAAGGATATACCAAAATAAGGATACGCATGGTTCTGCTGGATCAGAATATCAAGCCTTGGTATCTTGAATACATACAAGTATAAACACAAACGTGAAAAAAAAAAAAGACTTTAATGAGAATAATTAATCTTGCTTGTACTTAGTGGAACAAAAGATGAATATATTTTTTATCTCTACCGTTTAGCATTTTTGCCATTTTTACGCCGCACTCACCTTGCTAAACTCATCGGTGCTTGGGGCCTCTCTTCGTATCGGCGTTGTCTTTTGGTCGTGCCGATCTGGCAAATTGCTGTGAATTGTAAGTTAAGGTCTAAAAGTTAAACCAGGGCTGTCAAACCTCGGGCCCGCAGACCATGCACGATCAATCCGCAACTAGATGCCAATATTTTTATCGACCATCCAACACCTCCAGTGAAATGACAGTGTCAGCAGTCGGCCTTTGCTTGAGTTTGAGACCCCTGGTTCAGACTAAGACCCAAAGACATGAAAATTCTTCAATTAAACTACCACCAAAAGTACCATACCAATAGAATTTGTCAAAAATCCAAGCTTGAGCTTTTAACAAAGGCCTGATTTTTCTATAGGAGTTGGAGCAAATTCAGCAGTCATTATGTGGTGTGGGGAGCAACTGTCACAGGGCCTCGTGTAGAGACAGACTCACATTTATCTCTATGGCCAATATGGAATGTCCAATTAAACCAACCCTACATGTTTTTGACTGAAGGAGGTGAATCAGTGCAAAAGAAAAGATTCACTTCTCTATGTTGTTAATATGAAATCCGGAGCGTCGCCGGGTCCACAGAAGGGTTTCTCTTGGAGGCTCTTGCCACTTCACATTACCTCGGTTTGAGAGAAGGCTACAGCCGTTTACTCACAACTGTCTGTCTGACTGTCTTAAGAGTACCATTTCTATAACCGTTCACCCATGTGACAGGTTCAAGAACAGGAGAGGAGCCGACTGCGCGAAGCTGTTTGACGATTCAACACAATCCAGCTGCCACTGAGAGAAGGAATCAGCACGGGGAATCGAAAGCGAATCAGGAAACGGCGTAGGACACGCATCACGCTGGACAGCTGTCAGAGCGGCTTTTAGTAACTCCCATTTCTACTTTTCATATTAAGTAAAAGCAGCGCGTTTCCTTTCTTTTGCAGTTAGTTCGGTAAGGTTGATGACATCGTCCACGTTTCCCCAACCCTGTTTTTGAGCCAACGCACATATTTTACATTAGAAAAACCTCACAGCACACCACCAAAGAATGCGTAACCTGGCTCGATTTAGTTAAACAAAATGTGGATATACTCACAGGAATTGAAGAAAGACTCAAATGGGGATGTTCAACAGCTATGAGTCTTTTTTTTTACTTTTTTTCTAGCCATTTGCTGCCATCTAATGGAAGATTATTTAATAATTTCGCCTGTCACTGTCCATTAGACAAATTAAGACAAATTATTTGCAGTAAAAAAAATAATAGTTTTCAAGCTAATTAACTGAAATTAGATCATTTTCAAAAAAAAAATAGTTTTCAAGCTAATTAAGTGAAATTAGATCATTTTTTACAGTGATCTCTCACTATGCTAACCTGCCAGGACACAGTGGTTGCAAATTTCTACCATAGGTTACAGGTAGTATCGTCGCATTGTCATTGGCATTGCTTCACAACGATGCATCAAGTTGCCATATTTGTATCATTCAACAATTAAACCTGTCAACCCTTCACTCCAGCTCGTCTCCAAATCAAGCCGAATTCGAATCTGAGTTTCGCTCTGAAGGAGAACAAAAGGATACAACCACGAGGGGTTTGTCGTGAAGAATGTAGCCGTTGGTTTCCCGCAGGGCTTTCTCTGCGCTGCTCTCACTGGGGAGTCCCACGAAGGCTTGTCCTTTCATCCGCCCCTCCTTCATTAGCACAACGTCGAACCTGAGTGGCAGAAGTAAAGTGTTCAGTCGCCAAGAGTTCATCCTTTTCATCGCCAAAAATAATGTGGTCGGGGGTCTGATTGATTAAAAACACATGACCCAAATATTCAACTAAAAATTAGTGAGTGTCGTACGTTTGCCCAAAGGAAGATTTAAAAAAAAAAAAAAGTTAAAAATATATTTTTAATTTCAATATCAATTTTCTTATGTTTCTCGTGTGTGTGTTAAACTGTGATTTTATAGCCACTAAAATATACCCTGTACTCTCATCGGTGACAAAACTGTAAGACATTAAACTCGTCTCGTCAACCTGAACATAAATACAGACAGAAACACTACTGTGTAGGTGAAACACGACAGAGAGTCCTTGTTAACTCCGTTACCGCGCTGCCTCTCCACCCCCCCTACTGCGGCGGCTTTTATCATCATTCTACACTGAAACAGCAAGACAGCGTTTCAAATGCATACACACTCCTTTGTCAAAGACAGCGCCGGGTAGGAAAAGGTGAGGACTAAGACACGGAAAAATAGTCTCCTGGTCTTCGCTTACTTATCTTTCAACAGAAGGGGATTTTAAACATTGTGATTCGCCCAATTATATATATACTGTGTATAGTGTATAAATATATATATTTATAGAGAGAGAGGGAGAGAGAGAGAGATGTTTTAACACTGTAGAGAGAGGGAGAGGGGGAGAGAGAGAGATGTTTTAACACTGTGCAGCCCAGGTCAAAACAACATTTTATCCAGAAATGGACTGAGCGAAAACAGCTTTTCACACTTGACTCGTGACTCTTCGCGGCGTCGTCACAGCATATTCTTTTCAGCCGCAAATGTGAGACCACACCAAGCTGTAGAAGGGCATGTAAATACACAACAACAGGTTCAGCTCAATTTCAAATCTATCCCATTTGCATATTTCCATATTGTTCCTTTTGGTCATAGTTATGATAATAGGATTCAATCTCAATTAATTAGATAGTTAATCATTTTTGTGTTTTTTTTTATCCACAGCAACCCCGTGATTAATCAGATTAAAAATTCCACTCGTTAGACAACAAGCTCCATTAGACCCTTTAACTGCACATCACTACATTTAATTCTTGACAAGAATCTTCCCCGTAAGGCCGCCCACGCTGCGTTCAAGTACAACAACCTCCAGATTTTGCGACCAACTGTTCTGTGAAGGTAGATATTTCTGAAAGAATTATATTCAAAAACACCAAAAAAAAACAACAGCCAATACTCAGTTGGAAACGGGAGTCGAGAGTCGAGACGCATTTCTGTACCACGGAACCAGACAACGAGGCAAGACGCTCCTCTGGCGATTGGGAAACCTCCCTTTCATTATCTACGGTACACCTGAGGTTCCGAAGCTGGCCTTCTACCAACGCGAGCTCTGTGTGATGACTCAGGTGGAGTATTCATTGGAAGTACTGCTGCTGCACAAACAGAAAATGTCCCACGTGAACCCCCCCGTGTCAGGTTAGACACTTATTAATAACGCAACACGCAGTCAGCGCGAATTCCTAACACGTCTCCGGAGAGCGGGACAAATTGCTGGAGTCAGAAACATCTCAGGAATATAAAAAGTGGTGAAGAGAACAGAAAAATTATGTCGATTTAAAAAAGAAAAAAAAAAAAAAAAAAAAAAAGAAGAAGAGCTTTACTGGATTTCTACCACGTACATGTTTCGTTCCATTTCGGATGAAAGGTCGACGTATCTGCCGTAGATGTACTTTAAATCCTGAAAGTATAAGAATATACACAACAAAAAGGTCAGTAAGTCACGAAGATACTAGCAAAAACTGGAAGATAAATCTAATGTTAAACATCATTCATTTAAACTTTGTACAACAGACATCATGTGTAGGGGCCTCCAGGGGGAGCTAGGGAGGCCTCAGAAAATTGAAGATAAAAAAAAAAGCAGAAAAAAAAAACCATGGGAAAGTGTTTTGCAAATACACCTACTCTTTCCTCCACTTGCTTCGGAATATTCTTCACATAGAGTCTGCAGGTGGGCTCACCGGATTCGTAGTTCTTAAATACAGACATCTTTTTCATCTCTGTTTGGGGAAAAGAGAAAATACACAGATGTTTTAGTTGACAGTTTACATTTGATTTGGCGCAAAGTTTCCATATACACAGCTACTACGTACGAAATGCAAGAAAAGGTCTTCTACGTGCGTCACAATAACGCTTCGTAATTATGAATGTACCCAGGTGGTGGTGCTATTACGGCACACGTTCAACGACTCCATTGTAAAAATGACTTTTGACATAGATCAGGAGAGACAGACCGGGACAGTTAAAACTATGAGGAAGTGTCACTGAATGAGAAGCATCGTTCTTCAAATGACGGTCTCTTTAACACGAGCATCAATCTGATGTGTTTCACTGTCACACTTTTATCACCAGCATCTCCATCTGTGGGAGATGTGAATGAAATTGAAGAAAGAAAGAAAAAAAAAACAAAAGGTGGAAAAAGACTATATGTGGAAGATTAAATGACTAAATTCCGCCTTTTCGTTATTCCCATCTTTGATCACGAATGCATATTAAGTTTCCGAGGTCATGTCCCAGGAACTTTGATGCTTAGAGGTGACAGCAACAGCCGGTTAGACCTCTGTTCCTTTCTTTCCAAACCCTTATAAATATTAAACTCTCCAGCGGGGAGGTTAACGGCACTTTGATAAGAACCTGTTCTTCTCCTTTCAACTCTGTGCTTTGGATGATTAAATCATATATCCCTTTTTGAATATTACAAGTAAGACTGGGCGATGTGCTCCGAAAAAAATACGCCCGAATTGTCTGTTTATAATCAACTTGTTGTGTCGAAACGTGAACCAGCAGATTATATTTACCGTCTCTCGAGAGCCTTCCTTTCTCCAGCTCCTTTCTGGAGATGACACCCGACGTGAGATCCAGTTCATCGTCACTGAGCTCCTCCTCCTGTTTGCCCCCTTGGTTGCTGGGGTAGAGTTTCCCAAACCCTTCGGAGAGCTCCGTCTCGTCGGCATCAGCATCAGCAACAGCAACCCGTGGCTCGTCCGCTTCTGTAGGGGCCCAAACGATCTTTTAGTATGAATTTAATCATAATGTTCTTGATAAATGGTTTTTTTTCTGTTATTTCTTATGGGAAAAAAAATATTCGAAAATGATTTGGCCCTGGGACGGGTTATGCTCATATTTTCGAGGTTCCACTGTTGAAAACGTTCAACTCACATGGACTTACATTTTGTCTAAGAAAAAGGTTCAAAAGGCAGAACGGGGGGGGAAAATCCGTACAGACTTTAAGGACGGCACATCCACATGCACAGCCATTGTAGATGGAATTACTTTGAGCACTGAGCCTCTACAAATCCACAGGAAGGAAGGAAATCCGGTCATCCACATTAGGGTGTGTATCTGCGTGTATTTGTGTGTCGGCGAAGGTTGCCGGAGCCAAGAGTGTGTTGGGGAGCTTTTGGGATTCACTCGGCAGTAAACTAGACCCCCCCCGCTTTAAAATTATCCTCCTCCTTATCTGTCCCGCAACTGCCCCTTTTCATTTAAATAGCTTGTTTATCGGATCCTGCGCCCTCACTCCTCCAAAACCCCGCTAATCCGAAAAAAAGCCACCTGTCACCGTTTATCTTCCCCGCCGCCTTTAGGAAATCTTTTGTGTTGGACTTTGAGATCTATTTTTCTTGTCTGGGCCTTGCCAGTGGAGTGAAGTTGTAGTTAAGAGAGAAGGGAGATAAGGGGAACAGGGAACTGCACAGATGACAAGTAACACGGCAAGTGTGTGCTCCCAGTGACATTTCCTCATACAGATAATGGTGAAAACCTTTTGGCGCTGGTTGCCGCTGTGATATACTGCTGTGTAACACCGGGCTCCGACTTCAGCCGCAGTAAGGGCTTTAACTTATGACAGTGGCGTGTCAGGCCACCTCCTGTTTCGTCGAGATAATAAACATGACGTATAGTAACAATCGTGTTACCGGCCTAGCATCACCTGCTGGAATGACAGATGACAAAAAAAAAAAATTTGTTTGTATGTATGGTGATTTATTTTTAATTGCCAATTATGATCATAACTCGTTAACTCGGAGCAAATTAAATGTGTCCCACGGATGAGCGTCGTTTACGGCTGACATGTACAGATAGCGGACAACAATGTCGCCGTGTTTCGCGCACAAATACGGCACAATCCCTCTGTGGCAACAGGTGGGCGCAGAACATCGGCGACCCCTGTTTGTGCGACTGCATTAACCAAGAACGACCTGTGACTGTAGATTAGGGATGGCTCGTTACGATACTCATGATCTGTACGGGTCGATATTGGTGGAAATTTCAGGATGGAACATTGAAATAAACCCATCCGAGTTGATACCTAAGTCCAAATGCTCAACTTAACGGAAATAGGGAGACTATTGCCTCAGCAATGATACTAGAG